CCTGTATGTTCTTACTGTATTATTGTAATAACTCCATGAATATACATTGTCATTGGTACAAGGAGTGATCAATCATGTGGTGGTGCATTAGACATCCTGTCTGTTGATAGGAGCCATGAATTATGTTTGTTCTCCACATAGTTGCGGAAGTTGAATACCAGTCCAGGGTTTCAGATAGACACACTGACATGGCTCCCCACATCTGGTTAGGAATATGATCCTTTAATTCATAAAATATTTAACCTTTTAGGACCATTGTATATTTTTTGTTTGCTGCTTTTGTTTTATCTTAGGCGTTTATGTTTATACACCTTATGCACACTTCTTATTGAAAGAGTAGACTTACGAAGGGTAGCTCTAAATATTGCAGATTCATTTATTCATTCTCCTACCACGGTTTGTATTATAGATCAGGAGATGCTACGGTTATAGTACACGTCTTTTCCATCTACTACTCATTTAAATAACAATCAGCCTCAAGCTAATCAATCAATGCTTGACCCTACCAAACATTATGACTAATTCAGATAAATTTTAATTATATCTACCTGTGGAGTGTAGATTAATTTGAGGGTGTACCCCGCTGCTTGTAGTCTTATTCAAAAGTCTTTCTTTGTTGTACACCCGCGTCGATTGTGTCAGAGTCTGTTCAAATGTGTGCTCCACAATACAAGAGTCTTTGCAAAACTAGTTAAAGCCCATAATTTCGTGTTGTCTTGTAATCCCAGCCTATGATGACGTACACCGGGCTTGTGGAAGTTGATAGAGCTATCTCAAGGGAGCCCCTATCAGCACTGGCTATGATGTTCCCGGTGATGTTCGTATCACCTGAACCACCTGTGAGTCCTCCAACATCTGAGTCTGGAGTGTCTTCCCAAATCCTAACCTGTTCTGAACCAGCAGATAAAGCTTAAGCTGGGGGTTGGGGTATCTAAGTAATAAACGCTCCTAGATGTCATGTATGATTTCCGCCAGGGTCAGCTAGTGGGTCGTGCACTAGCCGTTCTCTCTCCTCCCTTCTCTCGTTCTCTTCAATTGCTTTTTAATAAGCTAGCTAGGACGCCACTATCGTCCCGCTCAGCGAGTGAGGCTCACGCCTCAGTATGTCTTTCCCATGAGACCCATCTGGTTGAAACTAATATTTTCCCCCCATCTTCAGTGCTTTCCAGAAAAAGAACCAAGGTGTAAAAAAATAACAAGCTTGACCTGCAGTATCTCATGCTATCTTTCATTTAACCATAAATTTATAGTCATATCTCCGTTTAAGTGAAGTTGAAATGGGTTGCTAATTATCGTAAAATATTTATTTTTACCTATCAATAAATGTTCATCTCCCGTATCTACGCATTTACCGCATAGCTTTGCTCCCGGCATGGGTCAGTCTCCCCCACCTTCCCCCACCCTCCCTCCCTCACTAAACTGTCAACCTAATTAAAGAAACATCCTTATATGGGAACCATAGTTTCTTGGTGTTTGATTAAGAAAATGACTAGAAATAAAATAGAAAAAATCTATACAACAATCTTGTTAGATTAAAATTTTTATATATAAGACCATTAAAACCATTATTATAATTACAATGTAATTAACAATGTTGTATGCACTATTGATTAAAATTTATTGTTATGTATCAATAAAAGTTCAAACTCTAACAAGCATTATCAATTCTAATTCTGCTTTCCCTATTATTAATTAAGGGTGTTCACAAACACACATTATTATTATTTTTTATTATTATTTTTTTAATAGCTTTCCAATACTAAGGTACTTGAACTAATGATTAACGTCTCTCCCCACGATCAGATCCTTTTTCCTCATGTAGGTAGGCCAGACTTTTGTCATATAATAGCTTACACACACAGCTCCCTTTTTCACATCAGTTACTACGTAGGTCGATATTATTACTTACCACTGTCTCCTAATATTTTTAATGGTCAATAAACTATAACCAAATTCTTCATTTTCTAAAACTGGCTCTCTAATCAATTTATTGACTTTCCTCTTCGTTTTAAGCTTCATATGCCCCTACTATCTTTAGCAGCACTGCTTGGAACTGCGACCTATTCTCACGTCTATTCTCTTTTTGCTTGTATCCTTTTTAGGACTTATTATGTCACTTGCAAAAAATCTAACACTGAACAACACGCATCTATTTACACAGTCTGTTGTTTGGTTTTATCTTATCATGTTTTATTTATCTATAATTAATTGTTTTTAACCTTATTACTCTATCTTTTAATAGACCATGCGTAATATATTTGTTTTATTTCTATGTAGTTTATTTTTCGTATGTACCTTCCCCAATCACTTTTTTTATTTTTTTTGTTTTCGTTTGTTTCTTTTTTGTGTTTTTGTGTGTGTAGCTTCTCGCCACCCTGGCGTCAATATTATTGTGACATGTCATAATACACTTATTATTGTTTAAAACTTAGTTCCTCTTATTATATCATTCTTAAACCAACTACAAATGTTTCCAAAATAAGACACGGCTATACTCTTTTTTATTTCTTTATTCAGTCCCCTTCAATCAAATAGCTAGGGTAGGATTTTAATAATCACCCCACACAATCCAAGGCTCAAGTGTCTCATAAGTTTTATTAAAAGTCACTACAAGGTACGTTCCATCTACCTCACTATTCTCACATACTTCCCTGCACCTCACTATATACATTCATCGATCTTCCACGGCATCCACGTATTTCTCAATTAAAAACATAAATCATCTCATTTAAATTACTCTCTCTCTCCTACCATCTTATTATATCACTCCCCACTCATCCAAGTACCAGTAATTCAATTAGTTTTTTTTGATTTTGTTTCTTCTTTCACTTTTCAAGGTAACCCTTTCAGTCTTCCACTTAAACGTTCTAATTTATTATATCAATTCCCATTGTTTTATATCACATCATTAAAACCTTTCTCTACCTTAAATTTTTAATTAATCTTTACATTCTTATGTATTCATTTACATCATAAGTTAATTAATTTGTAAATATAGCGTTATTCAAAATATTTTTATTAATAATTTTATGTCTTCAATTTTTCCACTCCAGGTCCTATGGTATTTAAATTTTACAATCCGAGCAAATCCCTCCACTAGTATTTCTAATTACACCTTACAAGACATCTGGATCTTCTCATGTTTATAAAAAATAATAATAAAACAAACTTACAGTTTTATACATTAGCCTTTACTACTTATATATTAGATCATAAACAACAATCCTAATTCATTTTGTCTTCCAATTAACAACTCTAAAATTTTCAACCAACTTAAGATAAAATGCTTCATTACTAATATTTAACATACATGACTATTTTTATCCAATTTAACCCTTAATTAACTAAATACAGATTAACTTTACCAATTTCCCTTTAACAACAAACTTCTTAAATAATTTACACTTAATTTATTTTATTTATAGCAATTTTAAATTTTCTAATTATCGTTTCCTAAGTTTCTTAATTTTTAATAACTCAATTTATATTTACGTAGTAACTTTATCTTTCACTCACTCACTTTTTTTACCACTTTACTCCATCTTCTCTCTCTAATCAAATTACATTAGCACTCCATTTTTTTTATCCATTCCTTAAGTTTTTAGATTAAACCATTCCATTGCTCACATACAAATCACATAAAAAATCATATTTAAACATTATTCTATAATTATACTTTTTCCAATTTATAGAAATGATATTTTATAAAAAATAAGTAACTCTTTTTTAATCAGACTCGTAAAGATATATGACTATATTTACCCTTCTTGTCTTTCCTTTTATTTAAATAAAAACATCTTGTTAATTTAATAAATAAGTATTAATCAGCTTACTCTTCTCATCCCATGTACTATTTACAGTCATTACTAACTCAATTAAATAGCTAATATTTATGTTGATTTTTTTTTATTTATTTACACTAAATATCTATTATAATAATCATAATCACTTTTTTTTTAATGTCTCTTAAGACGTCCCAGTACTAACTTGACAGGTATACTTAGACACTCTTTTTTCTCATTAACTTTCACCTTCTTAGTTCTTCACTTATGGTGCATTACCAAACTTTTTTTTCCATCTTACATTCTTTAATTTTTTATGCAATAAATAATAATAATTTTATTTAGATTATTGGATCTTTATTTCTTTCTTCTCCGAGCATTTAAGTTTCCCACCTTTGAATCTACTTACTTAAAAATTTATTTTACTTCTACATTTACTTTTTATGACCTCTACACTATGACATACTTTTTACATTTCTACCTAATCCATTCCCATTGATGAGTTTTTTTTTATAACATTTCTTCTTTGTATAGACTTCTGTTGTTTCCCCACAATCATTGGAATTATTATACGTTGTCATTCATAATTATCTAAATTTAAGTCATTTCACACCCCATAACCTTTCAAAACCCTTGTTGCCCTTTTGTCCAGGACAATCACCGATAAATCAACAGTCCACATTGTTAACCTTCCTTGTTACAAAACCTAAATAAATATTTATTTCTCTGGATTTTTTTTCTCTTTATATCACGAACAGTGTGAACATTAATGTTTTGGATTTAATAAGTTTTGTCCAGTGTTACTTCATTTTTTTTATCTGTGCTCACAGTCAACGAGGTCTTCTGACAACATTACAAAATTTTGAGTTGCTTCATGGACTGTATCAAATATTTATATCTAATAAATAATCCTAAACCCCCAAATAGTACATCCCCACTTATGTCGTTTTTAAACCTCCACCCATATCTTTCAGAACAACTGATAAACGGCACAAAAAATACGGATCTATGACTCAAAATACTAACCACACTCCACTCTCCACTCTCTCAATGCTAGTACCATGCAACTGCTTATAAGAAACGTCAACATCGTAAATCCAATATCAAACCAGACATCACTCACCCGCCACCTACCTATTGCATTACCACAACTCAATTCGTAACATGACCTCAAGATCTAATAATCCACTAAAATATTGAGTTATCCTTGGCTGAGATACCATTGATCAACTCATGGTCTCCACACAGATCAGCAGACCTCATAAAAATGAATCGTCTGCATTAAACTCTAACAACCATCCTCCAGGCCTGTCAATAGCTGAAAACATTGCTGTAACCCAGTCGCACTCCCATCAGAAAGATCAAACGTACAGAATAGCCATAGAACAACGGTGTGTGAGAGTCTTAAGGGATGGAACTGGTACAACCTAACCCTATCCTATCTTATACTCAATTCCCATGAGATAGCGATATCAAGAAACCAATCCCCCTCCCTCCACGGCAGAAAAAAGTAGAGCAAAACGCCCCCATCATGTAGAGACAGGAATCGAAAAACCTAATATCACAAAAAAGCAAAATCCACTAAGATAAATAAAAAAAAAAAAGATGTGTATCTGTGTAACAAATGCTGTGTGCAGTCAAGTGACAGAGCCGCAGACTCAAGCTGCAAATGCAAAGGATGTTCATTTTAATCTTGCCAATGTTCCAGGCATCAGAAGCAGAAGCTGCCACTGAACCACAGCTTTACATTAGATGAAACAGCTTCAATTAAATTGACAACAACTTGAGAACTAAACCTGTATAATACTCAGCTAAATGAAATGCAAGTACAGTAAACGTTACATGCCTATACTAGTCCAATGAGATTCGCGTCCACAAAGTCTGGCACTGAACACATGTTTGCTCATCTCAGTTATATGTTGTCTTGTAATAGGTCATCATATGGCAGATTGCAATCAGTCCCGTTTTAAGTAACTTGAATTATGTTCAACACTAAAAGCCACATAGGCTCGATAGATTACTGCCAAATTAGCCATAAGCGACTACACTGTTCTTGTTATCTGATGCGCTGGAATTTCCGCGCCATAATACTCGTAACGGGTGACCCAAAGAGAGACCGTTATGATGACATAGGATATCCGAGTACTATCACTATGATCATTCTAGTCGAAGATAATCAGTGCTTTCATTCTCCAGATCAATGCTTCGTCTATCACATCCGTCAGCAGACGCAGTAATGAACGAGTTTATCTTGATTGTATTATATCTAGTGATTTTTATCTACTGTTTATGCGAGGAGCTGCTTATCACATGTCCGAGTACTGGGCTGAGATAGTTAATGCATGCTCAGGCAGCCGCAAATGTTAAACTATTAGCTCTCAGCTCCTCATGAGCATGAGCATGTTTTCTAGAACTATATCGAAGAAAATATAAAGCAGTCGTGATGATCTGATGCGCTTACTGAACAAGGGCCACATTGTGATGGCGTTAGAAACCGTCAATCATGGGGTTTCTATGCAAGCATGCTATGCGACTCTACTAAGGATCCTATGGAGATCACGTGCGTTATAGAATGTGGATGATCAGGTGCCTTGCACAGGAGAGGTGTCAGAAGTATCGACAGGATCTGTTCTAAAAGATATGCAATACAGAGACATGAGGCTCATGGCGGAGAGAGGCAGACATTGTGCTCTATCATGAGTTGCAACGTTATGGTATTCTAAATGGCTGACCGCGAATGTTGGTTTCAGCGAATCATTTTTCCAACAGTGCCGGCATTACTGGTAGGCCTCAAACTGCTTGAAACAGTTAATGCTTGGTTCTGATAGAGAGAGGGGGTCAGAACACACAGTGCAGAGAGTCTGTTGGTATGGGACCACCAGGGTGCCCAGGTGATCACAATGTTATGGCTGATCGGTGTATCTACAAATGCTACTGGACAGCAAACCTAGGACCAAGTAGTATTCCAGGATAGGAACACTGGTTGTTGTCTGGGGCTCCAGGCCAAATATAATTACTGTAAGATAACGCTCAGCTAGTTTTTGCTCCTGGGCCCCATGGCAGATTGATTTATCCAAGTCTGGGTCTATACTTTACCAACAACAAAAAGCCACACAGGACTGATGCCATTTCACTGTACGTGGTGATTTGGGTACAAAGCTTGACAACTTTGTGACTGGCTTCTTCACAGCAGCATCATCATGCATGTTCCAATGCTGTCTCACAGTATGTCAGAGGAGTATGGCAGTCTCTACATCTGTTTTTTTTCATTGGGAATTATAAGAGGCTCACCCTCAGACCTGAGGTTGCTCAAGGCCGATTTATTAGCTCCAGCTGACACAGTTTCTAAATATCGTATATATATATATATAGTAAATATATGTTTTGCAAAGCTGTATGACTCTCCTTCAGGAAATTATGGAGACAACGGGAGAAATAATAAGGGTACAGAGGTAAAAAGTGACAGGAGCTGTTTGAATATAGCTCAAGGCTGAAACATTTTTCATCTAAGCTACTATTTACTATGTAGTGATTTTCAGCCGATCATTTTCCCAGTGAACTGCTTTGCTTCCTTTTGTTGCATCTGAACTGACTGGTAAACCTAAAGTTTTTTTCTTGATTCCTTGGTTTTCCTGGCACTTTAAATTGGGAGTCAGCTTTCACTAATCGTAAATAGAAACAAGGAATCAAACAAAAAGAAAAAGAAGGCTGGAATCAGTGAAAATGTAGATAGAAACCACAGTTATGTGCTAATGACATCTCTTAAACAATTGAATTTGACTCCTCGCCTCTGGAAATCTCCACTAACTCCTACATGCTGACTGCAAAAACACAGCTAGATTTTATACCAGAGAATTGATCATTTGGCCTAAAACACATTATTTTCATTGATATAGAGGATAAAATGCTGATCAAGGCAAGGAGGCAAAGAATAAAATCTAATGTCCACATGTTGTTCATCGTTTCCACCTGTGCCATTACGCGTCCCTGATTTAAATGCTTGGAGAGAGGAATGCAAAATGGCCACAGAGGGGCACTGTAACATCAAAGTGAGGAAGGGCCGGTGAGGAAGCTCCAGTCCCTACAGGAAGTTGGTGGTTGATTTGTCGACCTGGAACTTGTAGGCACTGTCAGAGGAGGGGGGCACAGGAGCTACAGGGGCCACAGGAGAGTATGCAGCTTCAGCCTAGAGGGTGAACACATTCATATAAAAAAAATTCGTCAGTGCATGCCCGCAGCATTCATACACTAGGATTGGCCAGGCACCCAAGCTCATCAGGTGATGTACAGAAAGCTTTTTAAAAAAAGCTTTATATGTAGTTTTAATAGTGCCAACGCCAGAAAGAAAGTAGTGGTGGATGACAATCCTCATGTGGGTCATTTCAGGACCATAGTGTGTGTTTGGGTGTGTGTACATACCTGTGGTGTGGCAGTCAACAGGGGGTCAGCAGGTGAGGGACACATATTCTCCATCTTGAGCTCCTCCTTACCAGGTTCACTAGCTGCTGCTGGTGGAGGAGAGCTATACATGACTGGACCTGGAGCATAGCCCTAAAAGAAAAGATAGAAGATAAAAGAAAAGTGAGGGAAACAGGGATGCAATTAAAAGCATTAGTGTCAGACTAAGACACGGGTCATACCATTGGAGCTCCAGGTGGGTACTGGCCTGGTGGTGGACCGTTCCATTGTGAAGGCTGGGCGGGGGGGTTCATAGCTGGACCGACAGGAGGATAGCCAGGGTTCTGGGGTGGGTAGGCTGGGTTATAACCCTGGAGAGGGAGACATTTAGGAGTTAGATCAGTAAATATTAAGGGAGGAAGCAGGCGAACGGGAAATCTGGGGAGTCAATGAAAACATATTAGGCTGGATCAAGTTTATCTATATGTAAAGATCCCCTCCAGACATTTTTAACATACAAAAAAAATAGTCTGCTTGGAATAATAATGTGTGTCTGATGTGTAATTTCTGCATTTAAGAATATGCTAATGTTGTTCATTTCAA